CCAACATCCTTACCATTTTTATTACTGGTCAATAAATGGGAATGTATATAAAATAGTCTTAAATCAAAAAAAGGAAGATAACTCAGCACATATTTTGCAGTGAATATAACCATTTAAAAAATATACATAAATAATAAGGAAATGAGACATAAACTTAAAGTGATATAGCCTATATTTCTCTAAAGCCACTTAACTTTATAACAAAATTTTTTTTAAAGTTTCAGCATATGTGACTACATCACATAACATTTTAAAATTTATGCTAATATATTTCATTAATGATCTCATAATTGTTGAAACCTTTGTTCCCTAGTGTTATGGACTGAATTTTGTCCCCCCTAAAATTCATATGTTGAATCCTTAACCCCCAATGTAACTGTATTTGGACATAGGACCTTTAAGAAGGTAATTAAGTAAATGAGGTCATAAGGCTGGGGCCCTAATCCAATAGGACTGGTGTCCTTATAAGAAGAGGAAGAGACACTAGAGGCACCTGTGCTCAGAGCAAAGGCCAAGTGAGAATACAACAAAAAGCGAGACCAATCTGCAAGCTGAAGAAGCCTCAGGAGAAAGCAACCCCACCTATACCTTGATCTTAGACTTCTGGCCTCCAGAATTGCAAGAAAATGAATTTCTGTTTTTTAAACAACCTAGTCTGTAGCGATTTTGTTATGGCAGCCCTAGCAGACTAATACATCCAGAATACATTTATTTAAAATGAAAGAATTATATTGATATGTTGAATAATTTCAAATATAGTAGACGTATACAAAAATAGCCTAAAGTATTCAAGTTCGTTGCCTAAATTTTTAAAAATTTATTAACTTCAAGGTTGCTTAACAATAGACAACATAAATATCGTAAGTGGCAAAATACTGAATCAGTAACTGCAGGACAGCTTAGATGCGAGAGATGGATAACAAAATGCTAGCTTGGTAGGTGTTACACATGCTGAAATGCAGTGATTCTTAGGAGCAATGGCAGGAAGGGAACACATTTCTCCGTAGTTTGCAGAGATAGCTCTTTTGTCAACTCATTATGATATAAAGCAAACAGAAGGTCCAATTATAGAGAAGATGTGAGGCACCATTTAAATTCTTATACTAACTAGACCTTACTACTATTTATTATATGTAAATCTAGTGAATTATTATATGTAAATCTAGTGAACTTAGAGTACTTTATTTTTTTTTCTAATTTACTAATTCCCTAAAATAAGTGAGGAAGCTGTTAGTTAATAAAATAATGTGCTATGTTCCCAGCACCAAGAACAGTGTTTCAGGAACTCAATAAATTGTTGGTGAGTTAACGTTTAAGGTCCTTTCTAATAAGGTTTTTAAGGAAAAGTTATTAAAAATTGAATGAGAATATTAAAAGAAAATTATCGAGAAGAAAAAAAGTAAAATTTTTTTCTAATTCCTGAGTTAGGAGGTCTTTAAAAACTAACACTGGGGAGAGAGGATATTTTTATTACTATGACAGTATAGATAAAGAGAAAAGATAAATTACAACTAGAAAGGAGAACTACATGGGGTATATTTAATTTCCTTTCCTACTTTTTTTTTTTAAAGCTTTCATTCCTATCTCTACCTACCGACAGAAGAAGAAAAATAATTTAAGAATGAAATTGCCTCCCAGTAATTTCTACTTTCTAAGTGTTATACACGTTACATCTATATAGTTTACATCCCATTTATGTTTACAATTTAACAGTTTCTTCTAAGTTGCACATAACTAGTAAGTGTCAACTATGTAGACCATATGGTATTTTGTTGATTTGATATGTCATAACCTGTTTAATTATTCCTCTCTTACTGGGTGTTTCAATTTATTTCCACTATTGCAGGCATGTTGACTCCATGCTTAGACATGAGCCCAAAGCAGTTAGAATCACTTTTAGTTATAAAAAGTAAAAGTTTTATTTTTTATATTGTATCATTTGACCTAGGTATTGTATCAAATGAAGGAATATATATTGCACAACTGGAGGGTTGAACATAGAACAGTAGTGAAGTTTTTGAGCTTCTCCCTTTTAAATTGATTAGGAACCCTGAGTATGATAAATTTCATTGCTTTAAACACAAGGGTAATTGTGTTCAGCTGTGATATAAGAAATTATTACTTGTTTATGCTCAGAACATGCACATGCTCAGAACAAGTTTGGGTTCAAAGAATTTAAGACTAGAACATTACAATTTATTTATATTCGCGAATTATAACAAATTCAACAATCAGATATCCTCTTTCTCCTCCTGATTTTTTAATAAACTATATCCAAGTTCACTTTCTTAATAGAAACAATATCTAATATATATTAAACAACTGCTATGTGCCAAACACTGTCTTAAATGCTTTAAATACATACTACGTTATTTAACGCCTCACATCTTGCAGTTCATATTGAAGAAGAAAAGTAACAAACACTAGTGAGTTTCAAATTAAGAAATATATCGAGGGCCGGCCCCATGGCTTAGTGGTTAAGTGCGCGCGCTCTGCTACTGGCGGCCCGGGTTCAGATCCTGGGCGCACACCGACACACCATTTGTCCGGCCATGCTGAGGCCGTGTCCCACATACAGCAACCAGAAGGATGTGCAACTATGACATACAACTATCTACTGGGGCTTTGGGGGGCGGGCGGGGGAAAGGAGGAGGATTGGCAATAGAGGTTAGCTCAGAGCCGGTCTTCCTCAGGAAAAAGAGGAGGATTAGCGTGGATGTTAGCTCAGGGCTGATCTCACAAAAAAAAAAAAAAAGAAATATGTCGATTTTCTTAACACAGCCTAAAAGACATCTATGTCTTGATAATTCCATATCTTGCCACAATACTGCAATAAGAACTCTGATATGAACACTTTTTATTCACATAGCATGTGTAAACTATAATTTACATAGCATGTTCAAATTTCATTTACCACTTGTGAGGAAGGAATTACTATTTCACAAAGGTGTAAAGAGAAATTCAGAGATTAAATTTCACAAATGGTAACTGGCATAGAGGGAAGTAGAATTCAGGTCTCCTAGGCCAATCGTATTCTTTCCCTTGTGGGGAAGAAAGGTTCATAACCTCAGATGGTTAGAAAACCACTGACAGAGACTCCACACTGGGTAGAAGCTACCGCCCAAAAGAAAAGGAGATCTCTTGACAAGAACTACCTTCAATCTTTGTATTAAATAGTACATTTCAGTCTTAAGAGCTTGACTCGCCATTGGTGAAACACTTAGGAGATAACATAGTAACCGGTTATAAAAATTGCTGATCTGACTGGTTGGAATACTATGTACTGTTTTTTAATTATTAGACTTGAAATCCCTTATAATACCACCTGAAACTCTGTATATGTTTCGACATGCCTAATTATTCTATGATTAGAATAGATATTAGGAAGTAATAAATACAGAACATTTCATATCTCCTTAAGTAGACCAAAAATGTGTAAAAAGCAGGAACACATTCTCAGAGCAACTCATACATAGTAGGCAATCAGTAGCTTGGCATATTTGTTAAAAACTTAAAGTGAACTATAAAAGTCCAAAAATGTTTGTAAATACAAATATTAAAAAAAAACCCTATAGCCTTCTTTTATCAAATGTACATACGTTAACCACTGAGAGGCATTAATTCTAAGAATTTATCTTAAATTCATGATTTCCTTTGATGCTCCTTTACATCATCCTTTGATCACCTGACAAGGAAATAGACATACTAGCATCCAAGGAAATGTAACAACCTAGTCTTTCAAAAATGGTAACAGAATGTTAACAAAGGAACATCAAGAAAGATTTTACTCTTGGTAATTATCTATAATCCAAGGGTAGGAAGAAAATATATACATTTATAGTATTAAAACTCACTGAGCAAAGGAAAATCTGGAAAGGACAGTGTTTAGGAGAAATATTGAATTATTGGCTTACATATATTTGGAAAATCACTTAACTTTTCACTGATATATCACACTTTTGCATTCTCCAACTTTATTTTAAAAGGAATTAAATTGTACTCCAATAACAAAATTCTTCAACAATTCTCACAATTTTAGCATAAGTTTAAAACTTCTGCTGATGTGGTCAATCTCATAAGAAAGATAACCTAAAGTTTTCTAATGGTAAGAGCTTGTCCAAAAATGACCTCAAGTGGATGGATATATTATCAGAGTTTCAGTGTTAAGATTTTGAAAAACAAAAAATAAACAAACATAGGTCCTAACACATAAGTGAAATAGTTCATCAGATAAGGTCAATCATCTCTAAGGCAATCAGATAAAAATTTAAGAGGTTTTTTTGGCTTTAACAATGCTACCGTCAATATAAAACATTTTTTAATTTAAACAAGTCCTAAATGAGGTTTACAACAAATCAATGATTCTGTTGTCTGAAATGAGTCAAACACAAATTTCTATTTTGTCATCTTAACAAATATTCAAGATTTGCATCTTCTACTTCTATATTCAAATTGTGTATTTTTATGACATAAGCAAGTCAAAATTTCACCTTATTAAAAGCTACCAATACGATTCTGCTCTAAATAGTTCTAATAACATTTGTTAATTTTTATGAAGAGATAACAGTAGAAATTCTATTTTTACTTCTCAACTTGTCATGAGGAAATTATTTGATTATTTCTCCCTCTAAATTGCATTTAACTTGCAAAAGTAGATCAAAGGGGATAAATAAGGGTAAAAACAAAGCAAAACACAACAAAAAACTTCTACACAGGCCCCAAAATTGAGTGCAAGAGTATAACCTAATAAAAATATTCCTTAGTTTAACCAAATCCAAATTTTTGGTTAACCAGATTTTTATAATTATTTCCTATCACTCATTTAAAGAGGGTTTCTGAAGCAGTATTTATCCCTTTTTAAAAATTGTACTAATTAAATAAATTTGTTTTATAATGAGCAAACAGAATGGTTTAGCTTATCATAAAACACAATTAATTAAAATTCCAATAGTAATTAAATCTGAGCCATCCCTTCTTTCCCCTTCTTCATCACAATATACCTTCTCTTACTGGCTCATTGGTTGACTCTCCTTTTAGACTCAGCATCCTGGAGAAGCCACTGGACAGAGTAGAGAAAATGCCACGGATGAAATATCCCTGCTGCTCAGACTCCACAGATCTCACTGAAGTCGGCCACGGTCTAACAAATCTGATACTGCAGCGAGGTTCCGGCTCTGAAATAGATCTGGTGAATGGAACCCGAAGTGACTGGGTGTTGACTAGGTTCAGCTTCTCTGTCGATGTTCGAAGGACCTCATTAGCAGAGGAAGAAGCATTATTATCAACCATCTTTGGCAGGACCTTCTGTTGTGGTTCATCCAAGTCTCCTTTATTATTTTGCAATCTCTCCCTTTTGCCCCCTTTCCACCTAAAGCTGGAGTATGTTTGCCACCGATAAGCACCCAGTGGCTTTCCTAGATTAGAAACAGTGTGTTCATTTTTCTTCCTCTTGCTTTTCACTGGACCACACCATGGATAACTCTTTAAGCTTGTTTCTATGTCTGAATTTGCATAAGCAGGTTCTGACAAAGATCTTCGATAGTTTGGAGGACAAGGTGATGTTTGTCTCTTAAAGAGGCTCATCTTCCACGACTCCATTTTTAAACTTCTTTAAACTGTAAGTTTCCTCTATTCCGCACGCAGTCTTTGCAGTTGAACCACACTTGTCCGTGCAGTCCAAAACATTCAACTGCTTAAGCAGCTTTCTTCGTGTGGCTTTGAACCACAGCAGATGTTGCTGCTTAAGAGCTGGTGTCATGTTATTATCCCATTTTCCCAGATCTCCAAAATTTCAGCAGCACCCAAAAATCTCTTGCCTGAAGCAAATTATCTACAGAGTACAGAGAAAGTAAAGATTTCCAGAAGATCTTCTTGCTTCTTGCAGTAGGCTACATTTCTGTACTAGGTCTTCAGGAAATGATTTATAAAAAAAATAAGAAGTGAAATAAAAGTGACACAAAACCCACAAACACCTTTATGAACCAATAGTAGTTAAGTGTTCACCATGCAAATCATAGTGGGTTAAAAACAGATTGTGAAAGTACTCAAGCTGCCATACACACTTTCCGGAAGAAGAAAAAACAAAAAAAACTTGCTTAAAGCCTGCTCTTTAAGTGACAGCTCTTCAGAATAGTTTTTACAGTCTGCATTTCAGAAATTTAATTTCAAGAAAATCATTGCTATTTACACCACAACTTCTCTCAAAGTTAATATTGTTTTTCAACCAATAGGTAAAGTCATATACTGTTTTATTCAATTAGGCAAGGCAAAAGGGAAGAAAAAAGGACACAAGAATGTCAAAATTTAAAGCCATTTTTATTGTAAATAAAGAGAATTAAAAAAGCATAAATGGATAGAAAAGAGAACAGGGATAGAGGATATTTGCTCTGAACTATAGCAAAGGAAAAGGAAAGTCTTGAGGCAAGATCTTGTGGCAACTGGAACATAGGAATGTACATACTTAAATGATTTCGAGAAGGGGAAAGTTTGCTTTATAAATCTAACTGGGATAAGTTGTCTGGAAAAATATTCCCTATCTATTTAACCAAAGAAATTCCTTTATTCCTCTTTGTGCTGCTTACAACTTTAAAAAACAGCTGACTATTTAAAATTTTGTTAAAGCCAAGTACCTTATATTGAACCAAGATCATGAATGCCAAGTTTTTGGCTGGTTATTTTATTTTTTCAACTGTCTGCTCATAAACTCCTGAAAACAGGGGTTTCGAATGGAAAGCCTGACAGACTTTAGACCACCAATAAAAGAAATATAACAGAGCAATCAAATCACTCTGTAAGTTGTATAAAAAATGATGATTTCATCTGGAAAACTAAAAAGCTATGCATTTATTTGTAGAATGTGTACAATGAAAACCAGTTCTCACACTAAGTCTCTCTCTTCTTACTGTAGAAATAGTAAATTTAGTAACACACCTATTCTTTCAAACATATTAAAATGTTCTAGTTATTTCCATTATCATAAAGCAATAATCTCATTTTCATTTGTCTATATACCTAGTCTCTAAATTTATACATTTCTATATTAAAGAAATGTTGAAGTACTAGGCTTTCCCAAAAGCATAATATATCAAATTAGAGTATCTTACAATAGTAAAATTTTCCCTTGTTTAAAAAAAAAAACACACTTAGAAATGTGAATTTGCACAAAGAGAAAAACAATAAACATTAAACTCTAATCTCTATTTATAGGATATCACACCATCCACAAAAATTAATCTGTGATGGAAAATAAACCTAAATGTAAAATATAAAACTATAAAGCTTGTAAAAGAAACCATAAGAGAAGTTTTTGTGACCTGAGGGTAGGCAAAGATTTCTTAGAACACAGAAAGCAATAACTATGACAGGAAAATATTTATAAATGTGAATTCATGAAAATCAAAAGCTTCTGTTCCATAGAAGACATATTAAGAAAAACAATAAGCAAGCCACAAAATGGGAGAGAATATCCACAATGCAAACATCTCACAATTTGTACCACAATATTTAAAGAACTCCAACAACTTATTAATAAAAGGAAAAACAACCTAATTTTTAAAAAATAGGCAAAAGAGTTGAACAAACCCTTCACAAAGAAAGCTACATGAATGGTCAATAAGCATATGAAAAAAGTACTCATCCTCATTAGTAATTAAAGAAACGCAAATTCAAGCCACAGTGAGATATCACTCACATCCACTAGAATGGCTAACATTTAAAGGGCTGATAACACCAGATGTTGGTGAGAATATGGAGCAACCAGAAATGTCATAACTGGTAATGGAAGCATAACATGGTACAATTACTACAAAACAAATTCAACAATTTTTTTTAATAAAGTTAAACATACATCTACCCTATGACCCAGCAGTTCCACTCAAACACACTTACTCAAGAAAAATTAAAATATACATACTTGTACTTAAATGTTCACAGTAGCTTTATTTATAATAGCCATAAACTAGAAACAATCCAAATGCCCATGACAGTAGAATGAATAAACAAATTGTGAGTATTTTCATACAATGCTGTACTACTCAGCCATAAAAAGAATGAACTACTAATACAAAAAACAATGTGGATGAATACCACAAATATTATGCCAACAAAAACTGGGCACAAAAGAGTACACACTGTATGATTCCATTTCTATAGAGTTCTAAAACAGGTGAAACTAATCTATAATGGAAAAAAACCCAGAAAAGTAGTTGTCAGTGGTGGAGGGCACTATTAACAGAAAAGGGCCACCAGGAAGCTACCTCGGGTGATAGAAACTTTCTAAGTCTTGATAGAGATGTGAGTTTGGGTATATATATTTATCAAAACTCACCCAACTGTTTCCTTAAGACTTATGTATTTTGCCATAATTAAATTGTATGTTAAAAAATTGTAAGCAACACTGAACTCTAGTTAGTAGGTTTGCTTATCCAGTATTATGGGTTAGCAATTTTGAAACCACTTTTTGTGTACTTTAGGCTTGAGGAAAGGAGTAAATACATGGAAGAGAATGAATGAATGAATGAAAGAATAAATACCAATAATAGAATAAACTAACATTATGTGCCTCCTGACATGGTGAACTGCGAAGGATACAACATCACTTGTGTGTTATTCATGCAAAAATTGCGTAACCTAAAACTAATCAGAAGCAACATCAGATAATCTCAAATTAAAGAAGATCTACAACTGTTCTCCTTGCTTCAAAATGTCAAGGTCAAGAAGATCAAAGAAAGGCCATGGAACTAATGCAATTCAAAGAAGACTACAGTGAGACAATTAAAAGCAAGGCATGATTTTGGACTGGATCCTGAACTAGGGCGAAAAATAGCTATAAAGGACATTATGGGGACAATTGACAAAATTTGAATATAGACTATGAATTTGATAGTAGAACCATATCAATGTTAAATTTCCTGATTTTGATAATTTTACTGTGGTTATGAAAGAAAATATTCTTATTCTTAGGAAATTCACACAGAAGTATTTAGGATATAGGGGCATGACGTTTCCAACTAACTCTCAAATGATTCAAGAAAAAAACTATGATAAAGCATATGGGGCAAAACATACACAATTGTTGAATCTGGGTAGAGTATATGGAAGTTTTTTGCACTCTACAAGTGAATTTTTAAAAATTTTACAACTACTTCCTTTGGATCTATAATACAAATATTTTTATTATTAATACTGTAATGGTCCCTGTTTCAGAATATCTTTTGGGCAACATAACGAAATATCTACTTTCACAGGTCTTACGGGGGAGGGAAGTTAATCAAGATCATCCTATTAAAATACCTCAATGGAAAATTAAATTAAGACTATAATTTTGAGAAAAGTTGAACAGTAAGAGTAGAATTTGGGCCCTGTAATCAACACTGTGAAATTCAGAGACTCAATGTTAAATGAGAAAACACTTTTACACACTAAATGGGTAAAGGTCATGGGTAAAAATAATTATCGTTGTTTCTAAACTCATCAACTCAATTCTTTTGAGGAACTACAACAATTATTCTTACCATAAACTTCCCTATTTGAGGAATATGGAACTGGAAAATATTAAATAACACAGAAAAAGATTCAAGCGAAATCAAAAAGCAAAAGAACTACAGACTAAGGAAGTGACAGTTTTTAAACAGGAATAATCAAAGAAATAAAGAAAATTCATCTCTCTCACAGCTGACTAAAGTTGGATTTGACAAATGCTTCAAATTGTCTTCTCTCATTATGAAAGCCTAATATCACTTATGTTAGTTATTTCTCAAAGTTTTATCTTTCATCTGAATTTAAGATAGTAACCTGACACTTCATTTTCTGAATTTTCTCAAATATATATAATGAATTTATGAATTTTTAAGAAAATATTCACAGGATTTATAATTTCTTAAAATTAAAAATAATGACACTAGTACCACTGAATTACTACATTCATTATGAAACCTACTGTAAAAATTGGCTGCTGATTGAAGGGTCAGAACAAGAACGTTTCTGCCACCTCAAGTATCAACTAATTTTCTTTATAATAATTCGTAATATTTAAAGCACAGCTCTAAGAAGTATTCTGGTTGCTAAGTCAGAAGAAACATCTGAATTCCCTAAATAAATATGCAAGTACTTATATCAATATAGAGTCATATTTCAAATTGTTATTGAGCACCTACCATGTGGCAGGCACTGTATTAGGACTAGAGGAACAAAAAAGAACAGGACAAACACTGTCCCTGCCCTCTTGGAACTGCCAGTTGATCAGGAAAGGCTTACATTAGGAAGAGGAGTATACAGGGTGTTAGAGAAAGTGTGTAATTAGGGGATTTTTACCAAATCTCAGGATAAAGGATAGAACCAATTTCTTTTGAGATTCTCTTGATCTTGAGATTCTACCGTTACAGTCAATTCTGCTATAATTTGACATGCATTCCTAAAAATCACCACATTATACAAAACTGCACAATAAAACTACAGGGCTTATAGGGAAGATGGGGTTGAGGAGCAACATTCAGAAACTTCAATAATGTCACAAAAAAAGATAGGAAGCTAATAAAAACTGTAGACCAATTTACACATGTTAAATGGTTAAGAAACACTCAAATGCTAAAATAAATATGGCACGTACCTTGAAAAAAGCCTTAAGTTTGACCGTGGAAGTGAGCATCAGAAAGGCTGCAGCTTTGCCATTTTTGTAAAGTGGTGGAAGGAGTGTTATCTGAAGTCTGAAGGACAGCTTTAACACGGTAAGTGGATGTGTGTGGCTCATAACACCTGTGGAGAACTGAGGTAGCTGGTAGTTGGTTGAAATGTATGCTTTCTGTGTATTTCCTACACAGCATGTGTACCTGGATCCAGTTTTCTGTGTTCAGCTAGTGTTTCTCAGACAAATGGCATGCAAGCAAATACAAAATTCATGTAATGCTCAA